CTAAATATCACACAGTATTTAAACGAAATATAGCAAGTTGAACCTAAGCTCAGCGCATGGAATCTAGTAGCTTTTAGTTACTTCTCAAAATTCAGCATAAACTTGCACTGATTAGTTTGATCAAAGTGCCTTCCGATTTTTTGGAAACTCATTAAATACACACACTTGTAGAGTTCTTCGGAAAATAAGAACAGGTGTTTGCTGGATTTTTTTTTTGTGACACATTAAAAAACAAATAAGGAGAACTGACCCTGAGTCATTTTGCGAATGTGGTAATACATCGTGATGCTAATGATAAAACACTATATTACTCAAAAGTGTGCTCACAGCTAGACTATAGACTATAAAGAGTTTTGACAACCAGTCTTATTCTTGACTTGCTTTGATATACATCATCAACTAACTGAAGCCAACAATTTGCCTTTAGGTAATTGAAAAGTTGTTGCTCCTTCAATGATGATATTTCAAGTGTGTGTCCTCCGCAGCCTTTGGACTTTGAATCCAAAAGGAGGTACGTGGTGGCTGCGGAGGCGGCCAACGACCACGTCGACACTCGCTTTCTGGCTCCGGACGAGTTCAGGGACCGGACCAGGCTCAAGATCGTGGTGGAGGACGTGGACGAGCCTCCCGTCTTCCTCCGCCCCGTCTACGAGTGGAAGGTCCCCGAGAATGTGGCCGTGGGAACGGCGGTCGGCGGCGTCGGCGCCAGAGACACCGACGTAGTCAACAACGCCATCAGGTAAACAAGGAAGAATGGCATCTGCCACCACCCGGCGTCCAACAGCCAGCGCCATAATGACGAGGTACACACCGCAGCTGGTGTGGGCACACAATCCCCGAGACAGCTTCCTCCACGGGGGTGAAAAATCATTCCAGTTTCAAATAGCGTTACCGGCTTGGCGCATCCATTTCTACCCCCTTGATCTCTGGATACCCCGAACATGGTCATATTTATCTCATATTACTTTAGTGGGAAATGAGCCCTCCTGAATAAATCATGACATTTTTTTTTTTTTTTTCTTATACCTCACAGGCTTTTTCTATCTATTGCCGTGGCATTATCACAAAGAGACGTTGCTAGGGACGTGGGAATGTAATAAAGCGCCACACGAGGCTGGCATATGGAATTGAGATTTGCAGTCATTTGCAAGTGAGGCACATTGCGGAGGAGACCGACGCCTGTAGTCCATCTCAGCAGAGCTTAAGAGTGGCAGGTGCTGCATATCATCCACGGCCTAGCATCCATTACTGTCCCTCTGGTGACAGTGTCTCATTGATTAATAAATTCAGTCTGACATTTCAGGAGTTTCCACAGTTCTAGTAAATATAATTAAGTTTACCGTGGTCAAGTTGGCTTATTTCCCATGTTGTTATCGGCAAAGCAGCTCCCCGAAATGAATCATTACCCTGCTAGTCTAATTCATTGTTGTGTTATATAATCACTTAAGTGTTAAAGGTATGATGATTTTAAAGACCTGTGCAATAGCGGGATTATATTTTTATGTCAAAACAAAGAGACAAAGTCCAGCCTGAGTGGGTTGAGGCAGATCCTTTCCTTTTTAAGAATTTAAATGATTAGTGTTATAGGACCTCAGGCCCTCATTAGTGGCTCGCTTTCAGAAAACAACGCACAAACATAACACAGTGAGGACGTTACTCTAATCATTGGCGAAAAAGACTCCCTCTTTGTTTATGAACTTTCCATTCAACCCCCGATTGTTGCTCAGACTTCTTCGCGACAGACAGAAAATGTTTGCCCTAAAAGTCAATTAAACCGACAGAAAACATAGACTAACCATTGCCATCTGCGCACAGCGCCGTTTCTCTTCTGATCCATTGTCACTTTGTTACAGCGGCTTGTATGTGCACCGGCTTTGTTGGATATCTATCAACAGATTAAAAAAAATGAGCAGTTTGCCTAATTAATCTCCCCGTGGTGTCACACTGTTTTGTTTGCCCAGAAAACAACCTTGCCTGCTAAATGTGCCTCTCTGTGAATCTTCTTCCAGATACTCCATCGACAAAAGGAGCGATGCCACAAAAGCTTTCCAAATAGACCCAAACAATGGCACCATAGCTGTTGTGAAAGCTTTGGACCGCGAGACAACCGAGTGGCACAATGTGACAGTTGAAGCCACAGAAACAAGTAAGGAGAATTTTTTTGATTCTTTGTCTACTTCTGGCTCATTTATTCCCCCCTATAAAGAAACCCTGTCAATTCTAGGTGTATGATAGAGGAACATGTGATGAGAGAAAATTTAAGATGAATTATTGGAGCAGACACACTCATAAACTTACCATAGACAAAGAAACCTGCTTTTTGTTGTTGAGAATGTTCCATTACACTTAGAAATCTTTTAACTTAGTAAATATATTATTTCACTTTCCACTTTAGGGATGCATGTGGTGCTCTGAGGAAGGCCCTCTGGATATAAGGCCTTAAAGAAAAAGCAAAGGAATGAAGGAATGCCCCAAAGGGCCGGTTTAAATTAGGATTGCCCAGATTTTCTTTTCCTTTAATGGTATATCTCGACAGACTTACCGAGATGACCACCAGGATCAAATGACAGAGCTGGAACTTAGCACAATTGTTCTTTAAAATCCTCAAGAAAACAAGTGTTCTTACATAAGAGGAAAAGTATGGCCCTCCAAGAATTGTACTTAGTGATGACCACTGGAAAAGGGTTTGGAACCAGCTCTCAGGCCTTATTTCTTTGAGTAGATAATCTTAAAGAGGTCCTGTCTGAAAATATGAATTTCATATAAAAGGTTCTCAACTGCACATCAATGTCTGGCCATTAAAAGTGAGAAACTATTCCACATAGGACGTATTAAGAAGTTCAGTCCAATGTCCAATAGTCCAATTTAATTATTTTTATTTCAAATTTCAGCAGAGCTGTTGGAAAATGTTTCGACACATGCGACAGAGCCAATGTGGATTAGTATGCTTGTTTTTTCTGACTGTGGAGGCTTTTCTGGTCAAAATTTTAGGAGTATTGTTAGAAAACCTGCTATTATCTTTTTTTTTACAGTTAAACAACATTATCTGCGTGTTTAACTATCAATTTATAGCGCTGCAGCTACTTTAAGTATTCGTCCACATTTTCCGGCCCTGGCAGTGAAAGCAGTCCAGAATGAGA